TCTTTTTTTGAGTAGGTAAATTGAAAAATTGAGACTGCTTTGTCGCCGTCTTCGAGGATACCTTAATCATTGGCAGGGGGCGTACAAAAGTGGAAAGAGAGGTTCTGGAGGCACATGCAATGGAAAAGGCAGGCGCGAGGCACTGCGTAAGCAAGTCTTAAATTTATCCCCACCCCTGCCCGCTTCGATATGGATAAGCATCGTACCGGCGTGCGGTCGTGTATCACTACTGTGTGATGTTAGTTAAATACCCCAGGCTAGCGGTTGTACTGCACTGGTTAAATTGCTCATCTACAGCTGAGATACCAGACGCTTGTTGAAGCAGACAAAGTTCAGGCTGTTAAAACTTACACAACCCAAAGCTTAATTTTAATTTCAATTTAACTACATAAAAAGTATATCAATTTTATCTATGCTTGGTGAGTGGCACGTCATCGTTGTACGGTATTTGATTTCAGGGTAGTTTCTTCAAGCCATTTTCTTTTGTTTTTTTTCTTCTTTTCAATAAATGTTTAGTTGATAGTTTTAGTCATCGCATAGAGACCTCTATGTCAGTTGATAGTTTAGCGCTCGCCCTGTGTGCTTCTGTCTTTGTCCCTGTCTCTTTGCGCGCTGCTTTTAATGCGTTAAAATGTTTAACTTGGTTTGACCGTGACGACATCGCATTATACGCTGGTGGTCATTGCGATTTGTTCTTGCTGAGAAAATCAAAACCGGCTGTGCAAAATGGACGCTGCAGAAGGTTCGCGCTCAGTGCAAGCCATGTATTCCAGAGACACAAATTAATCTTGTTTGGTGCAGCTTCGTGAGGAACGGCGCAAACGTCTGGCTCCAAAAAAATTTTTTTTTTTTTTTTCTGGTAGCAGTGTTGTGGCAAACAAAGTAGTTTACGGGACCACGCTCTCTGGTCGGTGTCGAAGATGCGGAGCAGAGGAACCTTCGCAACGGAGTATGTTTTTACATCTCCCTCCCCACCCCCCCCCCCCCCTTTTTTTCTTTTTTTTTTTTTCCGATGCTACCCTAAAGAATACTTATTATTACTGAGGGATTCCCTTATGTGTTTGGGCGAATTGATGCGACAATTATATTTGTGTCATTTGTTACCGGTAATCCTCCATTTCTTTTATTTTGCACCCAAAACTGTTAAAGGGATGCTGAATCGAAATCTGGATTCCCCAAAACACTCGTCAGAATCGTGCAACGGGATGCTACAAACACCAAAACATCGCTCATACAGTGATATCTCGAACGGATGACCGTATTTTTCAAAAAAAGAGGCGCATTTGGCAGGAATGTTGACGTCATGTTTCTCCGAGAAGGAGAGGGAACAGCCTCGCGTCTTCTCCGCCTCGCGGCCTTGAGGGAGCGAAGCGAATAGAGTAACTGTATACGCTCCTCTGCAAGCAGAGCCTATACAGTTACTCTAGAAGCGAAGAGAGGAGGAAAATAGGTATCTTGACGGTCACGCGCCTCGTCGGCCTGGTTCAATCTCGACTTCTTTTTCCCAGAATACGGCCGTCCATCTGAGATATCACCTTACTAGTAGTGTTGTAGGGATTGTAGCGTCCCGCCTACATCTCCAGCACTGTTTTTTTCGAAATCCAAATTTTGGTTCACCACCCGTTAAAGTTAAAATAAAATACGGAGGTGGTCAAAATTTTGGGAAGAACTTGAGAACACTTGTGTGAGACTTAAAGCGGCCGCCAATATTCGGCTGTTTCTCTGAGACCACTAGGAACTTCATTTTCAGGTTTCCCTCCCGTACACACTTGTAGTTCTATTTATCGTCAGATTAACAAGTCACATTTAGTCCTCTCAACGCTTCTATTCTCGTGGATTACTTTCTGAGACAGTTCATCAACAACAGAAACCTGAAAGGTTGACTAAATGACGTGTACATGCAAACCGGGTCCTGCTACAATTTTTGTACTTTCAATAAATACCGCTAAGAGCTAATTCCTGAGGTTCATAACTTGCAAAAACACCCTTTCGTTTTCCTCTCCACTTAATGGCAGTTGCAGAACAACTAAAGAAACACCTTTCCCCTCCTCAACTCGCTATTCGAACAAGCGGCCACGTGATCTGACGCCAGTGTTCATCATGGTCATGCGCCGGGGTTGGCGAAGAATAAAGCGTGGGTTGAGCTTTAGACATTGTAAGAGCTCGCAGCTATTATCGTGTTTGATTCAACACGTGCTTGATTTAACACGTGGTGCTTGCACTCTTTCTCCCGCAAGATTGCAAGCACCACGTGACCACAGCGGTCACTTTTCCGCAGGCTCCCGCAGGTGCGAACTAGAAATTCGTTTCGCACCATAAATATAGCTTTTTTTTTTTTTTTTAAGTTTTTGACTTTTTTTTTCATATATTTTTTTAAGTCGACTTGACGCTGTGAGTCACGGGACTACGTGGCATTATTGACAGCATGCCTGGACACCGTAAGGTCACGGGAACACGGGACAATTACTCCGTACATTGCAATTTCACTGCATATAAATACAGCTGCCAATTTTTATCCGTCAAACATTAATTTTGAAATCCAAAACGAAATTGCCGTGAACCGTTTTGAACGGGTTTCCGTTATATGTTTTTCCGGATCAGTTCCGATTTACTTCCAAGATGGTGGCGAAGATTTTGGTTTGGTTCAGTTCCCGCCCGGTTCCGGTTCGACTCTGACACTAAATGCTGCGAAGTGCCCCAAATCAAACTCCGCACTCTAAGAATTCGGCCAACCCCCGAATGTTGCAGTATCTATTAGTTAAACCAAATAAAAATATGCGTAAACGCAGTGTACTACGTGTCAGTCATCCATTTGCCCTTGATGTTATCCGCACAACGCGTCGAGGTGCGTTATCGCTTCCCAAATTTATTCCTTGAGCAGGATTTTACAAGCGATCGCCTTCCAATCGAAAGGCTGTCTACTCGTATGGTGGGTGTTGGAGCACTAACCATATCTGTATGAACAGCCTTTCCAAGTAAAATGCGAAAGGCGCCCATGTCGTGTTCGCGCCAACAGTGTGACTATAAAATAAGTGGTCTTACAGTGACAAGTACTCTTCAATCATCTCGGAAATAAGACGCGAAATAAATATCGGACTTGTTTACAAAGGTATATATGATGATATCTCTTTGTTGCTCGACCTGGCTACGGCACATTTCCAGCAGGACGTTGTCTGAAGTCCGTGCCTTCCGAGGTGCTACAATGGCTAGTGATATAAACCATACTACGTTCACCCCTGGCTTCCTCGGTGCTTTGGTTGCGCGAGACTGCGCGTTCGCACTTGTGTTAGCAAGGGCAGAAAGCTCGAGCTGAAGGTGGAGCTTGGGTATACATGCTAACGGCAACCAGGCACAACTAGTGTGCCTCAATGCCCTTCTGTTTAGAGTGGTGCCATCGTTTGTAGTACCCGATGCCGACAGCACGCGCTCACAGGGAAAATACCAAGAAATCGCAGGAAACAAAATGTCGACGTAACACAGTCAGCGCCACGAGCGCGTGCAGGGACACGCTCTTTCACGCGCTTCAGAACAAAAAATAAAAATAAACGTTCGAAACAAAATGGCCAGATGTCATCACCCCAAGCAAAGCGCACATGAAGGCACCCTAGGCACAACAAACCACGTTATCACACGGCTACTTTGCAGCCGCCGGGTTGGGGCTGCGGTAGACCTCCACTGCCGTTCTGACCCAGCGTTCGATGCCTGCTAGACCGCCGCGTGCTCTGTAGTTCGTATCCGCCGTTTGCGCATTCTAGCGCAGATCTTTAGCCTCTGTACTTGCGGCTTTCTTCACCCATTGCACGTTATGTTATCGACGGCGGCGCAACTGCCTCGCCAGCATGAAACTGCGAATATGACACCACCACTCAAAGCGACCGACACGGTTGCAGGCGAAGAGATGACTCGGCGAAAAATTTTGTTCGTTAGACCTCGTGATGCTTTCGCCGCGAGCATTGTCGAATCTACGCACCCACTTCAGGGGCGATGTTGCAGTTTTATGAATCGCATTCGTAAGAAGCATTACCTGTAGGAGGTAAGTATTCAATGGACGCCATATTTGAGTGCGATGATTAGGTTGCACGTTCAGAACGAGCTCACATTAATAGCTTGCTAAGACCGGCAATCTTGATGGTGCTGAATGCACATTGCAAAAGCACCACGGAAGCTCGCCGTCCGTGGTGCTTTTCCAATGTGCATTCTTCCTGACAATGAAGCCAAAGATATGGGTACCCGTGCACTCGCCCACATTGTGCGCCGATCCCAGCTGCGTTCGCGTGGCCTTCACTTTTTCAGAAATCCCAGAAAAAGTTAAGGGTTCTACGTGCCGAACCAACGACGGGCATCTGGTGCCAAAAAATGTTGCAAATAAGATAATAAAAAAACACACACACGCACATAAAAAAAAGAACAAACGCGAGTGAACTCGGAGACTCACTCAGATTCGTATAGTTCCGGAGACGGACCGCCCGAGGACGCTTGTCGCTTGTCGAAGGTCGCCCTACTTTTGGAAGCTTCGCGAAGCCAGATTTGTTAGCGATTGCGCAGTTGCTCGCATGTTAGCAAGATGACCAGAAGCGCCGGTGTGGGGGAGGAAAGGAACTGAGCCACCATAGATTGTCTTCTGAGCCAGTCAACACTCGCAACATTAAAAAGCTTAAAAAAAAACACCTTCTGAAAATGTGGTTTCTTCTAAAGCCACCTGCACAAAATAAACACTCAAAGAGAGTATCATCTGAAAAGAGATAACGTGGCTTCTAGCGGCTTATTTAGAAATTATATCTTTAAAAAAAAATAGTAACAATAACGCGTACGACAAAGATATAGCTCATAGATACCTTTCAAACTAAACCACATCAATCTAAACGATATAAAACTGCAACGCAATCTCCAAAATTTGGAATAGCAACAAACTGCTGAAACCTACAGAAACGCTAGACGACTGAAAGCGAAACCGAAACCAGAACTTTATCATATCCATAATCGCACGCTAGGGGGACATCAATCGCATCACGTGACGTCTCGGCTTGAGGGGACGAGCGCATGATCAGCCGTCTCTCGGGAAGTCGACTGTCACAAATTTCTCTAATAACCTTAATTTCCTTATTCGCGGCAGCACAAGAACCATGAGTGAAAAAGACAGGATTTCTGTGTTCCCATCTCGCATGTACGTACAACTTCTTTCCCAAGACCGAGCAGTTTTCCAGGCGTTTTGGCGTTCGTGACCGCCTGCATCGGCTCCGGTCGCTCGTCGGAAAAAAGCGATTGCGGCCTCTTGATACTCGTTAAAATCTCGCTGTGTTCTGCCTCCGCAGGGCCATGACGCTGATGAAGGCGCGCCTGAAGGGAGCCCAGAAAGGCCACAGTCTTTTGAAGAAGAAAGCGGACGCCCTGCAGCTGAGGTTCCGGTCCATTCTCAAGAAGATAGTCGAGGTCGGTGCCTCCCGTACTGCCCAAAAATGTGCCACTTCTCGCGCACGCCTTGCGACGTTTCCTGCCCGCCGACTGTGTGAGCGTTACGTCAAGTGTGGTTAGGTGGCAGCTTGGATCGTAAGCAAGCAGCCGGTCCTTCGACGCCCACTGAGTTGCCCGCATCCCGAGCAAGCTTGTCTCTTTTTGCTGAAAGTTCTGCATTGGACGGAGGACGAAAGTGTGTTTATTCGCGTCAGATTGTCCAGACAGAGAGAATGCAGAATTAATGATGCCGTAAAGAGTTCGGTAGCCTCAAAGTAGGATATTGATTTGTTCCTTTTATACTTTCTGACGTGTCATAATTTAATTTACTCGTGGTCAGTGCTGTCTGGTTCAGTAATGATGGGAGGTTCATTCGGATACGAAACATGCATATTTTCCTCGCTTCCTTTCGTGCTGTTTTCACTATGAACCCTCACTAACTTGCCCAACTTCCCATTTTATTGAATAATGTGGTGAATTTTAAACAACCGGTAATGTCTGGGAGCTTAGAAGTGCACCCTTAGTATCCCCAGAGCGCAATTTAAAATCTGTTACACAGTGGCCATCCTCTTACCAACCCTTGTCAAATGGCATCCACATAAATATTGTGACTTGTCCAAAAATTACTCCAATGTCGGGACACTGCGAATTACTGGATCCCAACTAGTTACTTGCCTGTAATGGTATTGAGACTTCTCCAGTCTAGTTATTGCCTGCGGTCCCTTTCACCGAAGAACACCTTTCCTCGGGTCAATGTGTTTCATTGTTAGAAACCATTTGTGAGAAATTAACAGACTCACTGAACAATTTCACTGAAATTACTACGGTTTAGTAAACAATTGCATATTGTATGAATGAACAGGCAAGGAAACAAAGAATAACTAGGGAAACTGAAACATTTAATGGGGTGGACTTGTGCTCAAAAATAAAAAGGAAATGGAAGATAACAGCTGAGCGTGGCGGGCGTCGAAGCCGGCGTAACAGCAGGATTGAGCGCTTTGACGAGACTGACTGTGGCTCGCCTTGCGGGCCACCTTTTGTAGCCGCGTGGGTTTCTGGAACATTCCGCCTAGAACACTCGGCGCCTAGAACATTCGGACCTCGAATATGCAGCAGAGTCCTCGAATTTTCCAGAACACTAAATTGCAAGAATAAATAAGACTCATCCCTCCCAAAAATCGAACCCTGGCTCAACGCATGGGAGGGAAGCCCGATAACCGTTAGGCCACGGCCGCGCTGCTTACTTGGCCAGCTGCACGCGTGGCAATATCTCGATTTATATGTGTAATTTAAGTCTGTCTCATTTGCAGGCAAATTTTTTCGTTAATGAACATAATCACTCAGCAACGCTAAAGTAACTGACAATTTCCATTTCCAAACTTTGACTAGTAGGGGTTTTTCTATGCAGAGAGCAAGTCGTCTGCTTCTTGCGCAGGGGTTCTTGCGGTGACATCAGAGCGACGCCGAGTTCTGATTGGTGGGATAGTGGGTAGACCTCAATGCTAGATGCCTCGAGGTCTACCCACTATTTTTTCCATCCGCCAATAAGAGCTTGGTGCTCTGACGTCATCGCAACCCCTGTGCAGGAAACAGACGAACTTGCATTCCGCATAAATCTTTTCATCTCGGTAGTTGTCCGACCGGTGGATAGGTGGTGCTGACGCAGCCTCCACATTTAGGTTGCATCCAACTATGTAGTTTTTGTTTATTTTTGCGATACAAATGCGTTTGCGGTTGGATGCAACCACTGAACTAGTTCTACTGAGCCACTTTGAGGACTATGAAGTGGTTTCGAGACTAAATTGCGGGCTTTCTTACGAACACCTTCGATGCATCTGATTATGGCCTGCAGCAAAACGACTGAACTGATGTACAGGGAAGATTACCATCATATATATGTCCGTGCCTGATGATGCTAGTTTTCAGAAAAATAAACTAATGAAGAGACTAATATATGGATGTGAAGGAAGAAGTCGACTGCTTGATGAGCAATCTGCTTAATTGGAAAGAATGGTTTAACTTGCGAGTTTACTACTCATCGTTTGCTTTCCATGGACATCCAAATTTTAGTGAACTTCGGAGACTTAAACACTCCCGTATAATGACGCAGGAAATTTATAAAAACGAGCAATATTGTCTCAACCTGTTTTATTTAAAAAAACAAAATTTAGTATTTCAGAAATATTCTGACAGTCCAACGTAGGCCAAGTAGGGTATTGTGAAGTGCTGCTAATTTTTCATTAGCAGCACTTCACAATACTGGCCCTAGGAAATAATCTATTTTTATATGGACATTCGCTTTCTCAAGATATATCATAAGTGGTAGGCCCGTCAAATTGAGTCCGACATTTGTCTTCCTTAAAATTGGCCGAATAAAATTAGTCTGCGCAGGAGAAGCATCTTGGCAAGTTGGGCTGAAGTGTGATGCTAGGCAACACTTCATGGACCTGTGCAAAGAGGTTTTTATTTGCTCGAACAGACATGCTTGGTAGATTTTGCGTCGCTAGCCACTAAAAGTAAATCTTGATTCGACAACGCTGAACTAAAGTGATTTACCACAAAAATAAACTGTGCATCACCCAGTGCTTGGCCTCTACCCAAATGTGGTGCTTGCGGTCCATACCAGACAAAGTTTTAGAAGTAATCGTTATCTTATTCAAAAGTTAGAAATGACTTTCTAAACTTTTCAACGGTAATATGGCGTTCGACAGAGCCCTCGAATAGCTGGAGCTGAGCGGCACCAGTTACCGAGAATGGGCCCCGTTTTCCCATTGAAATTTTTCGAAAGATTGATTATGACCTTTTGATAAAATATTGGTTAGTTGGGAAACTTTGACATTTGGTTGGGACTGCTAGTGCTACATTTGGACTGAGTTGGGCTATGCGTCGTTTATTTTTTCGGCGATAAAAAAGCTAGTAAATATTTTGGGGGTTCATAGTTACTTGAGAAGCGTGCTGTGGACTTTGCAGACGAAATCGCTGATGGGGGAGCTGATGAAGGAGGCGGCCTTCTCGCTGGCCGAAGCCAAGTTCACGAGCGGCGACTTCAATCAGGTCGTCCTACAGAACGTGACGCGGGCGCAGGTGAAGGTGCGCTCACGCAAGGACAACGTCGCAGGTGCGTCTCTTCGAGCCCCGCTTCGCGAGGGGGCTGGGTGTGCAAAGATGTCAGCTCACAGAGGCAGGCAGTGTCGAACTTACTAGATATCCTTAGTCGCAAAATTTCCCAGAGACGCCTTACGACGGGCGGCACCCAGAGGGGTGTCTGATTTCTTACGGCGGTGCATCGAGATATTCCCTCCTATTAGTGCGCTTTCTTGACAAGCACTATAGATTACCAGCTCTGCACTCGAATGACACGGTGAAACATTCAGAGATCTCTTTCTTCGAGACTAGAGATGACTCCGGGGAATCTGCCGTCGACATGTTGCATTTATGGAGTCGCAGTTTCTGCTACGAAGGTGGGCGGACCTTTGAAATGCGTCGCATACCTGCAAGAAAATGCTGAAAATGTGTTATTAATAAACAAAAAGCTTCTCCTAAGGGCTACATTATTGCGGGCAATGACAATTTTGAAAGCCACAAGTCTTCTTCGAAAGCACAACTGAGCGTAGTTTACGATTATAATAAACTCTCCTAGTAAGGGCAACCTGCGAAAGGGTTAACTTTTGGAGGGTGTTCGACGATTGACCGGATTGAATTATGCGGATTAGGGGCTAGAGGTAGCACCATGGTTGCTTCCTTTAGTGCGTCTGCCTCTACACACTCCTCCGACTTCCCTCTCTGATTTCCTCATTAAGGCCGCGTCTCTGGTGGGTGGCCTTTCAAAAACCGTCTCTCTAGCCCGATTTTCTTGGAAAGGACGCGACCTTTACAAGTACGATGAGTGTCTATGTTTATTGAAAGGTAGCACGTCGGCTGGTATGCTCGTGGCCCCCTCCATTGATGTCGGAGGCATGGCGAGTAAGTTCGCCCGGGGCACGAGTCTATGCTTCGGCTCGTCGGAGAAAGTTGTCGTGAGTTGTGCCATTTTTCCCTCGCAGGTGTCACGCTGCCGGTCTTCGAATGCTTCCAGGAGGGCACCGACAGTGAGTGCTTTCACTTCTCGCACGCGGACTAGCCGAAATGTCGTACTCTCGGATATACGTTTGGGCACCCTTTGTGCTATGCGGATGCGTAATTCAAATGTTGGGTTTTTCGTACGAGGATGGCGCCCTTTGGGCTGTTCACTACAGTTTCGGTGCTTTTACTTCTAGGAGCGGGAAACGTGAAAGCCTCATAAGTGATAATTTCATGTTTCGTGCTTCCAGAGGTAAAAGAAAATCGTAAGAGCGTCGTAAAGCAATTTCCTTCCTGCTGGTCGTCCATTGTGGTGCGTGAGATAGTGGCGCAGCCGAGCTCGGTCTCGTCGTACACCAAACCGCGCGTGGGACAATCGTTTCTGGTCTCATCCAGGGTGTCGAACCAAACCTGAACCGGATTGGGACCTTTATTTTTGATGCAACTGGAGCAAAAGCACAATCTCTCGCGACTGTTGCCGATTTTTCGGACGACAATATTGAAATGCGAGCTGCACCTATTTTTGCGCCCAGTTAATTCTAGCCCTCGCGGCAGCGGCATTTGCGACGCATTGTAGATTCATTAAACGGCAGCAACGTAGATGCTGCTCGGTAATAGTGACACGAATAAATAAATTCTATGTCTATGTGTTGCATGACTTCGCATTGGAGGCGTACCTTGTTGTGGTCGGCGGCAGGCTAAGATATCTGTAGAAGCTCTGCGCCCAGCACGTGTTTGTTTACTTCCGTTGCATTCTGGCTGCACATGCAACAAAGTGTTAGTGTCAAAGGTTGTGCCGCAGGTGTCTACTGAATTCTTACATTGTCATTGACTATAGACCATTACTCGACCGCACCGAGAAGCTAAGGAGCCCGTCTTTTGACGGCGATAGCTGCTAAGGGTTCTTACCACCGCTAGAAATTATGTCATTCGTCGTCAATGTTGTAGTTGGCGCAATGGGGCAAAGGGCGTCTGTCGTCCATATTGCCACGGGCTTAAAAAAGTATCGCCCGCCGCTTTCGGTATTCGCTCCTGGGTCGGCCGTGTGCGAAGCGGGTCCTTTACCGCGGAGCTACGCTGCAGATTTGACATTCTGCTTCATATACAATATTTGTGGAACAAGCGCGCGTACGAGTGTCAAGTAGTGCCCGCTAGATGGCCACGCTTGCTGCGACGTCGCAATAGGAAATTCTTTGTAATTCTTAATCTATTTTAGATTTAATCGGAGTTCCTCATTGAAATTAAAAGCTTAGGCTAGGTGGTGCGAGCCGCCACCCAATTAAAATTGTTTGGCCACATACATCCACCCAATAGGACCTAGAAGACTGGCCTGCGCATAACTTCCTCATTAGTGGATCTCCGAGTCGCCCCAAGCAGACGCGCCGAAGCTCGACGACAGCATGGTGCAAAGTGGCAGACGCGCGCGTCTTGGTGTCACCGCGTGCTAGTGTCGCCCTTGTTGCAAGATGCTGAAAGATGTGACTGCTTGACTTTAACAAGCTGAAAGATGCACTGACGGCAACGCTGATGCGTCTCGCCGTTGGTCGCACGTTCGATGGTAAGGTGCATGCTCGTAAGAGCAAAGCCATACGAGACTTCTCCGTCGAGACCTTACAGTGCATGAACGTGACACCGGTGCCCAACAACTTTGCCGAGACGTTTCGCAGCTATCATCTATAACACTATAAACGTGGTCATGATGTTTCTTTTTTATTTGTCCAGTGTTCTGTTTTTAATTTCTAAAATTATGCGTTGAATATTTTAAATAAATTGAGGCATCCCCCGTTTTAGTAAAAGCTGACCATTGTTTTGTGCGGATATGAATTCCATAGGATAGGGCAACTTTGACCGTTAACCAGCTTGCTTGCGAGCTTCATATGTCACTAATGCTCGGCGGAACAGTGTCTGTGGCTGCCGGAATCCCAGCGGAGAGTGTCGTGCTGTATCTTGCGACGCAATACTTCCTTTCTTTTTCTTACTTTGCCTGAAGCCATTACACATTTGTTGCTTAACCACTCGTGACTGTACAGGTTAGCGAACAGCTGAACAAACTCGATTACAGCACGGAAAGTCCAAATATTCTAAAAGCATGCTCTCAAGAAACTGAAAGTGAAACCTTTTGGTGCAGTAGGCACGATGAAGAGCTCGGCTGCCAATGTTGCCCACAATTTCTGCAGTCCCCACATTGAATGTGTGTTTGTTTGGCAAGTTCCGACGTAGGTTGGATCCAGACTGGACTGGAACGAGAGGTTGGGTCTTTCTCTGATCACTGGCGTTTGCGTCACCCAGCCAACGAGCTGGCCGGCCTGGCCCGTGGCGGCCAGAAGCTGGGCAAGCTCAAGAAGAACTACTTTGAGGCGGTGAAGCTGCTGGTGGAGCTGGCCTCGCTGCAGACGTCCTTCATCACCCTCGACAGCGTCATCAAGATCACCAACAGACGCGTCAACGCCATCGAGCACGGTAAGGGGCCGGCCGGTCGCTGCCGCCACATTTGGCCGTTGCGCTTTGGGAAGATGCCGAGTTTTACGGGGCTTGCCCATTCGCGGCTCCAGCAAAACAGACAGCACCTAGTGGGAAAACACTACACTGGCCGGAACGGGCTTTTTCGTGATTTCTGCTCGTCTCTTGTGGCTTTCGTGATCGCGCGTTGTTAACGGTTGGCGCGGTGGTTACCGAAGTAAAGCGAGAGGAGGTGCGTTGGATGTGTCCGCAGCAACAAAAACTGCAGCAACGACGGGTCCACGGGAAACGGCGTGACTCGTAATGGCCTAACAAGTTAGATGAGCCTCGCATTGCTTCTTTGTTGTGTAGGGAAAACAATTCTCTCGGAGACCGTCGTTACTGTCATATCAACGTGTTGCCTAGGCCTCTCCGAACGCAACCTACGCAGCCGCGTGGTCTTGCGCATTTATCAACGTTCGTCATAGCAGTAGAAGGGCTCTTCTTTTGTCACTTCCCCTAAGAAAACCTCTGGAAGCTCGCTTACGCCAACACACTGCTGCAGGTTCTGCACGTAGTGGATAAAAGGCAAGGCCATTTTGAAGGCAATGCTTGCCCGTCTAAACCCGAGTGTTGTGCATTGAGCCGGCACGTGGCACGGCGCAACCTGTTTTCGGCCGACATATTTGTCGGAAACTGGTCGTTTTTAAAATTCAGCGCCATCTGGCAGCAAAGAGGTCAGTCTCATGTTTGCTGTGTTGAAGATGGTAACGAGAATGTTGTATTTCCTTGGACGCCGTCACTTTTTCGCATGTCAGCGGCAGGCGAAAATGTCTTCTTTCCCATGTGGGTTTTTCTCAGTTCTTTTTAGTTTTGACGGCAACAGCCGGTCAATACAAAGTGACGACCCACGTAAATCTGCCTATAAAGTTGTTTGTGTGGTGACTTGAAAACCAACTGCCTGTTAACGGATTAATTGGACCCTAGTTTGGGATGAGTGCCGACGTGGTGCTTGTGTCTAGTTCGCGCGCCGCATTGTGCTAATGACTCGAAACGCCAGGCCTCGTATCCTCCTCTGGGGCACGTCTTGGGCTTCTTCCCTCACCAGAACACCGCCGTTGGAAGGACGTGGACGACGATGATCAAAGTGGCCTGACTAAACTGCACGCAGGTTTCTTTGCCGTATCTGCTTATAGATTTTTTGAAGTTCGATACTTTAGACCAGTGTTCCAGGAAGAAAAAAGAACTAGGTAGCAAACAGATGGTCGAAAACGTTATACGGGGTGTCCCTGCAAAAAAGGCTACTGGGCTATTTTCGCCGCAAAAATAAGCTAGGCATCGCTAAACGCTCATTCTCTGTCCAAGGATAGTGCTGAAGGTTGGAACCAGATGCCATACATTTAGCACAAACGGATATTTTATTCGAAAGTTATTAGTGATTTTTGGAAACTTTCAATGGGGAAATAATGACGGATGGAGCTCTATGGCGCCAGAAACCGAAAACAAGCGAAAATGGGCCCTGTTTTCCCATTGAAATTTTCAGAAAGTCATTTATAATTAAATGACGAGCATTTTCATTGTCCCTTGTCCCCAGTTTGTTTTATTCTTTCTGTTCCCAATCATTTCTAACTTTCGGATAAAATATTGGGTTATGCCGAAACTTTGCCATCTGGTTGTGACCTCTAGCGCTACCTTTGGCCAGAGAACGAGTGTTCGGCAATGCCGAGTTTATTTTTGAGGCAAGAAAATCTTTCAGCCTTTCCAGTTTGATGAAGAAGGGAGACCAGCTAAGCTGTATTATGACATGGAATGAAGTAATGGTCGGCCACAAGTCAGCACGCAGAGTGGAAAGGTTGCCGTCATCTATGAGCGACTTCGGCAACCAGACAACTGGCAAGCCGGTTGTCGGGTTGCCGCCGTCGCTCATAGATGGCGGTAGCTGTCCAGAGTTTGGTGTCATCATATGTTTGCTGGCGGACACGATCCCGGGAAAACTAGCTCTTAACAGCTTCACTGTAAAAAAATACTCTGTAAATTTTTTGGGGTGATACTGAGATTAGAAAAACCAAACACACTTGCAAAAAATAACGTTTTTTTTTGTTTTGTTTTTTTTATCTAAAATTTTAAGTAGCCTAACTTTTCCTTGTATGTAAAATATTTTTGTCTCGATATCACGTTTGCTTTCTTCCGACCCGATCCTCTGCGCTCGGTCTGACTTTGTTCTTTCCTGACAAACTCGCAACTATGCCGTGACAAACATTTTCGCGTTTAGTCTCGATGACATAATCCGGCAGTTTACGCGCTAAAATAAATCTCTTTTAACGCAAAACGCGTTTTAGGTCAGGTGTTTGAGCCTACAGCGTCTCAAAATAGTTTAACGGAAATGTAACGCTGCCAGTCATCTTACCGAAGACCTTATCCCCTGGTGGAGATCGACTGCCAACCCCTCGCTCGGTGATCCAACGCCCCCTTGCGCTGGTGGAGCGGCTTTGATGATTGCGGTTGCTATGTACGAACTGAGATGCTGTCTGTCCCCTTCCTTTTGTCTTTTCTACTTTCTCTTCAAATTTCCAGTGTTGGGTAAATTTCTCTTCAAATTTCCAGTGTTGGGTAAAGTACATCTAAAAGGTACTTCAAGTAAAGTACAAAATAAACTAGAGTAAATGTACTTCAAGTAGAGTAGTAAGTACACTGGGTGCAACGTGCTTAAAGTAAAGTACTATAAATACAATGTACTTTCAAAGTAAAGTACAAGTGTTTTAACACAATCTTTAATGATGCCCTTCATTCCTCTAAACAGTGATTTTTTTAACTGGTATGCACTGCCTATTTTCAAAAACAGCGGCAAATACTTGATAAACTCAAGTGCCCACAGAGTAGTTATTTTCAGGAAGGGAGCCAAATTCATAAGTCCCCCTTCTGATTTTGGCGCCGCATGCACTGGATTGTTGCACCCACGGGGGTTAAATGTACTAGGAGAGAGCATGACGTCAGCCCCATAGCTTCCACAAGCAATCCTCTCATAAAAAGAATGTTCCCTCCTTAATGAAAAATTATAATTATTCATTATGCGACCCCCGAGATAGGGATGCGAAAAAAAAGGAACTTTCAAGTCGAAGGAAAAGACAAACGCTGTGGCTAGCGTACGTCCGGACAGAGCACTGAAACGCGTATACCTAACCCTCCCCCCACCCTCCTCTCTCTCCCCCATGAACCTAGGGAAAACTGAGATTTGGACGTAACTTGGGTTACGTCGGACGTAATGCTAGACACTTCGAAAAACAAAAGGGAATGTCTCAAAACATTGTGACGTTCTCCTCTGTTGTCTTTTTCTTCGACTTGAAAGTTTAATTTTTCCACACCACAGTCTCAGGTGCCACATTATGATTAATTTTGCTCTCCTAATATTTTAAACCTCCTCGCCTGCGCTGACCGATCGATAAGTAGCGAGAGTTTAAAAAGCTACGGGAAAGCCGCTCCTAGAACAAACACAGCGATGTGTCGTCTGCTCACGTTTCTGGCGAGAGTAGTATTTATTCAGGGTTGACAAGGCATCATTTTGCGATAAAAATTTAACAAAACCGAATTTGGGGAATGTACAGTAAAACCTCGTTATAACAAAGTTGAAGGAGCGGTCGTAATTATTTCGTTATAACCATTAGTTTGTTATAGCCAATGTCCATTTCTTCCCACTATTAGCAAGCAAGGGGAATTATGATTGCTTTGTTATATCCATTAGTTTGTTATATCCCGTTTTGTTATAACGAGCTTTTACTGTACTTTGAAGTCGGGAGTTGTACTTTCTTCAGAAAGTACCAGAAAAAAAATACTTTTTAAGTAAACAGCTAGTACACACTCAGAGAATGTACTTCAAGTAAAGTACAAGTTTCTCAAACCTACTTGAAGCAGTACTTTAAGACAATGTACTTAAAGTACTTCCCAACACTGCAAACTTCCTTACCAGTTTCGGGGTTGCGACGTCACAAATGATGCTCAACGGCTATCCCGCGCCTCGACTATCTTTTCGCTACGTAATCACAATATCACGGGAGCCTTCGTCGCCCCAGTATGGCGGGACTCGCGCGATCGGGTAATTGCGTAAGGCTTGAATGTGGCTCGGAATGAGTTTGGTCGCATTTTAATCCTACGGATCGAGTGGATTCAATCTCAGAGATGTTCGTAAGTAAATTCCCGGAGAAGCTGAAATCCCCATGTGCATTCCGCGTCTGCCAACTTTATCCGTGGGATAGAGGCGCATTGACGGAGCGTGGCAGCCCCTGTGCGTGCCTGTAGAGCCCTCCGTGCTTCTCCGATTTGCAGTGATCATTCCCCGCATCGACCGGACCCTGCAGTATATCAACTCGGAGCTGGACGAGAGGGAGCGGGAAGAGTTCTTCAGGTAAGGAACCCCCCCCCCGGCAACGGGAAACTCTTTTTTTTTGCTTCGGCCAGTCGATACCTGCAACAAACGTTGGCGATTGCTTTTCCTTCTCCGTTCTTCCCCCTTTCCCACCACCCTTTAAGGATGGAGGGAGGAAAGGATTAACTCTCAGTGAAGGACGGCCCGCCTAGTCCCTCTTGCCGGAGTGCGGAGATGCCGCAAGCCTCGGAAGTAGCAAGACAGAAAAAAGGGGGAGCCTCACGGCCATCCAGCGCGCTTCGTGTAGACCTTGGATTCTCAGTCTTTGATCTAGAGCGGTGGTTCTCTACCACCGACGTTCGATTACCCCTTCCATCGGAGCGCGACGACAAAAGGGTAAATAAAGAGAGCGCGTGCTAAACAACTTGGAAGCTTTGAAATGGAGAGTAATCGGGCCTACTCACTCCGTGCGTCTGGTTTGGTTTATTCAGCCACGTGGGACAGCCAGCGTCGGTTAAAGTCGAGTTGTATCGCTTGGCTCGACCTACGGTCAAGGGCTTCAGGGAGCTTAAAGACTGACGACCAGTTCGCGCTTTCCACTTTATCCTTGCTTCCTCCTCTCCCCCCTTCTACCCTGTCCATTGTTGCCTGTTTCCCCCTCCCCATGGTGAGGAGGATCTTCTGACTTGCAGAATCTCGAGTCTGGTCGTCGGCCTTTAAGAAGGCCTTTAGGGACCCCGAAGGGTCTGCAAGCCCCCATATGAGAACCACCAATCTAAAGGAACCTCGAGTGATTGCTCAAGATTGCTCTAGATATTCCTCAATATTCCGCCAATTCAAAAGCTTAAAAACTTAGGTAACGACGACGCACGCGCGCGCGACGGAGGAGGTTGAGGGTATTTGATCCGTTGTCGTGCACTCTGCTGCGCCGAAATTAGGCTTACCTTTGAAGCGACGGCCACCCCGGGTGGGAAAGGGCGAATGCCGAATTGATACGGGGTGGCCATTATTTTCTGTGGGGCAGGAAAACGTTGAGGGAGAAATGGAAATCGTCGCGTGGAAACTTGCTACGAACCTGTGCGGCGCGGGAACCAAGGTCGTCGTCCGAACGCGCCCCGCTTTCGACTTCCGGATGGTCGCCATTTACGGCATGATCCGGATGGATCTGACCCTTTGGATAGGTTCCATACATCGGTTTTGTTCGATAGGTGTCAGTAATTTACTTCAAAGGTGCAGCTATACCCTGCGACAACTCTTCTTGGCAATGCAGTGGAAGGTAGAGGCACGCGTTGCCTCTCCCCTTTTGAGTGCCGAATAAAGCTGTGCGCGGGCCTCCTCCTCTCCCCAGAAATGCCGAGAAAAGTTGTCGCTGAGTGTAGGTAGTGCGTCTATGATGCAGAAATATCAAAGGGAAGAATTTTCTCGCTAAAAGGTTCCAAATAAAGACCAGAATTTTCGTGCCGAACGATGCCATTGCAAGGCTGTTTCCCGTCATTGTGAAGAAATGACTGCAGGCTTTTGACACATCCGATTTTACAAAATGGAACGGTGGTAAGAAAACGCGTGACAGCCTACTGCAAAGTTTCTAGCCTGGGCTACAAAACAATTTGTGCTGATTTGTAGAACTTTTGGTTTTCGCTCGTAACTTTCAGTTAATGCGAAATTTCGGTTCTACCCTGTATTTTGGTGAAACACGCGCACCAAGCAAATTTATTTCGCCCATGTGGTACAGTGGCGGACTAGGTATGGTGCCGTCATCGCTCCCTAGTATAACTTTTTAACCCGCTCCTTCGATGCGAAAGCATTACGTGTCCCATAAAGTGAACCGACGTATCAGCTGTTGAAGTCACGCCAAATGGCACTTAAACTCCCCTGTCCCATGCAGCGAAGGCTGTAGTCTGTAGCAGACACCCCATTGGCTGGCGCACGGTGTAGTTCCAAGGAATGCCACCCCGCAGAGAAGCCCTCTCTATGGTGGCGCACAGCCCGGCTGCCGGTAAGAGGGTGCGGCCGGCCACAGAGCCAGCAGAGCCCGCCCGGGCAGACTCCGGAGAGGCTGCCCGCTTGAGCTCAGCGTGGCGTGCAGTTTGTAGGAATATGCTACGTATACGAATGTTCGACGCATTAGCAGTCTTGAGTGTCCTTGTAGATTTTCCTTTCCCGTCATGTTACGTCTGTTGTTCAGTATTTTAGCATAAGAGATAGGCGGTGTGCTGTTGGTGGGACAGTCCTTAGAGGACGGGCTTTCGACGCACTTCGGCATTTGGTGCCTGGCAGCCGCTGGACACATGCGCTCGTTCGACAAGGGGCACAAGCACTGGTGCCACGTTCAGTGCGCTTTTGTCCTTTTACGGGCCAAGGGAAACACGTGTCTCAGCCTTTTAGAAGAGAGACAAACACTCGTAACGGGGTGTGCCGGGTTGCACTCGTAACGGCCCCTGGAACGGAGTTGCGGGGTATAAAGACAGGGTGCACTCCGTTGAACGCTCTGGATTCACCCGGGGGCCTTTGTCCCCTCCCCAGACTGAAGAAGATCCAGGAGAAGAAGAAGAAAATCCGGGACCTGAAGCAGAAGCAGCTGGACGCCCTCAAGCAGCAGGGCCTGGACGTGGACAATGCCCCCAACCTGCTCGAAGACGCGCAGGACGACGACATCCTCTTCGCCTAGCGACACCCCCGTCCTCCTAGTCCCCTTTTTTTTTTTTTCCCTTCGCTCCATCCTCAGAGGATGGCCCCATCCCTTTGGTCTTTACGGTACGGCCTTTTGTTTTTTTTGGCGGCGGTCATTTTTTTGCCCGCAACCAATGTTTTCCAATTGTCGTACAAGATTTCTCCTAGTGCCATTCCTTAATGTAGTCTTCGCGCCACAAACGCTGCGAGCTTGGCTCCTCCGGGTTTGTCTCGTTTCGCGAAGACCCGTGAAGAAGCTTTCCGCCGTTCTTTCTGCCGAGGCTTTTGAATTGGGGAGAAGTCTTCGAAGTGAGCTCGGCGGCGAAAGACGTTACTCTTCGCACTGTCGAGAACTCTCCTTGTTTTGATGGAGGGTGGAGGACGATTAAGCCTCCTCTCGGAGATTTGTAGACCTTGCCTTGCGCTCGAGTTTTTAGGATTGAGTATTCTGGTCTTAACTCTGTTCCCCTATTACTTTTATTTAGAAACGGTCCAAAGAGACTATGGCGTTTCGCACGTGCGAAGAAACTTGGGTGGAAGAGCGTTACGGGTCCCCTCGTTGGGTGTTTCGGATTACTTTCAACCGGTGCACATTTTGTGATTCCCGAAAAAGCTCCGTCGGATCTCTCTAGAAAGGTGTGGATTTATACTTTCTGAGAAAAGTGTGGCTTGTCATGGTTGCGATGGGCTGCAAGTGGCTTGGCCTTTAGGCCAGAGACCCCTCCAAATGTTTCACGAAGCCACTTGAAGGAAAATTGTTTTGGTAAAGAGTGTTTCTACTTTATGTTTACTACAAAATTTTTGAGTCCACTCCCCCCAAAAGAGGGGAAAATATGTTCAGAGTAAAACATTCAAGAAGCTTCTTTTCATTCCCAGTGTGTTAGGAGATGAAATGTAATTTTCTCTAAAAGTGTTACTATAAAGGTGTATGAATGGTGTGATGCTGTTTACTTCCCCTTCTGACGGATGTGGAGCAGTGAATGCAAGTTAGTGCTTCTGCATTCCTACTTTGTATGTATATGAAATCGGGCAATGTTGAGATGCGTGGCACAAACTTGTTTTATTATGCCATCAATAATATCTTGCACAAAGCTTTTATACAGTAGAAAGTTCTTAGCAGCTTTTGTAAGGGAACTCCCAGATAACAGGAACAAATTGAACCAGTTTTAAGTTTTAGTAGGGTTATGACTAGGATTTTATGTTTTCTGTTTTGTTTGTTTTTTGCAAAAATCTTTTGGGAGGGTTGTTTTTTTTTACGGTTTCAGTATTCTTTGTGTACACTGGTTGTAACTTAACCAATTTACTCAAAAGGCACAGAATCTGTGGGAAAAAATAAACCGCCCCGAATTCCCCCCCAAAAAAACCAAAAAACAAAAAACATGGAACCCTAGTTATGGTCAAAGAAACCCCCGATAAAAGCTATCATTCTGGAGGGCAGATAGAAGTACAGAGAGCAAATGTTCAATGAATCGTTAATGATTTTCTTCTACGTGGCTAAGCTACATAAATGAGATCGCTCATGTTTTTGTGTCATTGCACGCTACACACAAAAATGAAACATAATTGGATGAACAAACGGCAATATGTACAGCATTATGATGAGAAAAAGTCTGCACCCGCGAATAGACTGAGGTGGTTCTTGCTTGAGAATAACTGGGATGTAGGTAAGAGTTCCCACATCTGTGCTTTGGTGGCACGATTAAAAGAAAACACGAAAAAACATATTAGTTTTTACGCTTACATGATGCCAGTTACCCTGGTCTCAATCCGGGCCGCGGAACTTCCCCAAAACCTTGGCCAGCGCTCGGTAAATGTATCTCAACATGATGTACAATCATTTAGTCGAAACCTTTGCAACAAAAATAAAAACGCGACTTTTTTTCTTTTCTTTTTTTTTATGTTGCTTAAAGGACGTGATTTTAATAGCCGCGAGTTCCTGGTTTAATGGGTTTAAACTATAGTGAAACACATCTTAGATTTAAGAATATTAATTTATTGCACTTTGGATTCAGAGATTCTTCTAAAAAAGCAACAAAGGTAAACCAGACATTCTGGTTGTCAAACGCTACGACTCCTCACAGATAACTAAGGCCCGTGCGCACACTTGGGACTCCCTTGGGACCGACTGCCTCAAAGGGGTCCTGCAATCATATTTAAGCGTCTACCTTTTTGGCGGTTTCCACGTCCCTTGGGGTTCGGGATGTAATGCCGGATTACAACAAGGAGTTGTAATCCGGCGTTACAACTCCCTGTAACGCCAGATTAGAACGCAGCTCTTGAGGAGGAGGATGGAAGGGTACTGAGGGATAGGTGACTCCCTGAGGTCACGTGACCTCGGGGGGGAATCACGTGACCTCGGGGTCACGTGACATCAGGGGTCACGTGACCCCATGCCCTTTCCCTCTAAACCTTTTCTGTCCCCTGGCTCCAATTGTAACGTCACTGTTTCCTTTGCCCTGATCCCGCGCGATCCGGGTGTCTGCCCTGAACTAGCGCCATTTTCGTGTGAGGTACCCAACCGTAGATCTTTTTTTTTTTTTTATTTTGTACCACGATTTTAGCGGCAACTGGATCTTGTCGAGGTCGCAGCGGGTACGCGATGCCATCTTGCTGCGCTGTGGATTCTACGAACACCTTTGCATCTGGAAATGAGCTTTTTATCGTCCCGTCAAGAAAAGAAAATCTTCAGCGACGAAGAGAGTGGCTCCACCGGATCGGATCGGTCGGAAAAGTTTCGACTGCCTCCGAGGGAAATGAGTGCATTTGATGGGTAGATAAATACACGAGGCGCCTAAAAAGCAGACATCGCATATTCATCCGTACGCATGTACGCACTTGCGTACATGCGCACGGATGAATATGCGGTAGTATTCGGTGTTTATAAAATTTGTACGAAGTAAACCAAGTTGCTGGTTTGGCTAAAGGATCGGTAATGCTAAATATTTCCGAAAAGTCCTGGGTTTGCTCGCGTTGTGCTGTCTTGTATTTGCCTAACTCGAGTGATGCCGAGTCTGCAAACGCAATTCGTTCAAGATACTAAAGAAAAAAAAGTTTTAGCAGAGCGTGCGCTAAACATTGCGGGCGGGTTCTCAATCCATGCTCAAAGTGACGGCACAAGCTCCCGCTAGCAACGCAGTCCTTGCCTACAATCCACAAAACTATTTACTAGCCGGAAGAAGGGCATTCTCTCCTATGCCTGCTCTCGGCACTTTCTGCAATAAACCGCTAAACGCAATATATTTTCGGAGTGCATGTCGATGTCTCAAAATAATCAAAACTACACTGCCTTTTTTTTTTTTTTTTTATTGTTTGGGTTTAGCGGAGTTGGAGAAAGCTTGTCTTCACACTCTAGCGACTGCAAGTCTGCTCGCGTCATTACATTTGCCAATGGAGACGTCTTCCTGTGCTTTAGAACTACAGCAAAGGTGCATAAACGCTAGTTTCTTCATGTTAAAAACAAAATTGTCTTCATATTAAAAAAACAATAATTATCTAGTACGGCCGGGCAGGCATAGGTGCGCGCCTTGTGGGCCTCGCACCAAAATGGCGGCGGGTGGTATTGCACGGATGGAGGGCGAGTTGAATCACTCTGGATAGAGAGGAGGAAACTGCGGGGAGAGGAGAAGTGCGTTACGCTTCAGTATGTAGGAAGGAACCTTACTTCCGCCGAAAGAGATTTGAAGTCCCAAGCTCCTAGGAAGTGGCAAGTGTGTGAACGGGCCTTTTAACCCCCCTCCACCCCTTTCTCGTGTAGTGGATGAAGGTACTTGTATGTGCATCGAATGTTTTAACATTATGCACATTCATCAAACGCAAAACCATACAGTTTTTCTCCGACAACCGAATCCTGCCGGAAGTAAATCGTTCAGTGTACCAACTATGCGCACACCATGGTGCGCAAAACGCGCGCATCCGCCGCCTCTCCTACGATAATGGCGAGGTGGTGGTGCCCACGATCGGCTTGATTGGATCTGATCCTGTTTTGTCACGCCATGGGCAAACCGATTACAGCCTCGGGATATGTTTGCAGCTTATGCTTTGAAAGCCCTCTCGTTCCAGCTCAACATACCTGCATGGCGGTCGCTAAAGGTATACTCTTTGTGCCCCCTCCCCCCCCCCCCCCCCCCACACACACACACACACACATACAAAAAAAATGAATGCTAAGGCTTTCGGTATTAACCGGTACGAGAGCGAACGTAGACGTCTGTTTACTTTGTAAGCCACAAATCATAAGTGATTGGAAGAGGAGAGTATAGCCAGCACCATCGACGGTTTGCGAGAGAATGAATTAATGTGAAGGAGGGATAGCATGTACCGGTGATGAGAAAAAGGTGAAACAGGGACTGTGTTATTGGGGGTAAGCGTGAGTTGGTTTGACTAGAGGTCCTCATCCATTCCCCCGCTCACTTGGCAAGGGGCTTCCATAATGACTCTGGGCGTTAGTACTAATTCCAGGACCGCGCTGAGGCTCGGCAGTGCCCGCAGTGCGCGAACTAGAATTCTTCGTCCGAGCTGGCGGCCAGAAGCTTGATGCGGTCGGCAGTCTTCAGCTTGCGGATGCTTTTCTGTAAGGAATCGGAAAAGTGCCGTTGGTGCGTCAGTTTGGGAACAGTTTCCTCCACCAAACCCCGTCAAGCAGCTTTGGCCGCGGCCGCCATGTTTTAGCGCGACTGGACCCGAGTCCGCGCCGAGAGCTGATAAGACCTGTTGCGCACGGAGTGCGCAACGAATTATGGGAACGTCATGTACGCAAAACAAACTCCTCCCGCCCTCTTTCCAGCTTAGCATGGCATTCGCATGCACTCGCCTCTTGCCGTTTGTACCAACGCAAACATCGCAAATACTCACGCCACGCTGTACTCATAACATCAGTAATTCAGTAGTGTTGACCTCTACCGCTTTATAATCATACGCTTGAAAGGCAATCACTTTCAACGAGGACCATCACAGAAGATAAAAAGATTACTAGTATTTTGCTTTTTGTTCGCACATAATTTATACAAAGTGTTTTATAAGGGTTGATGACCTGCCTTTCTGAGTATGAAGCATTGCAAGAGGCGATAATTATTTGACATAGTCGAAAAAAGCCACCTCCGCAAGGAGGCTACAACTGGGCGTTTCGCACTGCACCATATTAGTCTATCGCAGTGGTTCTCAAATGGGGTCCGCGAAGGCCTGTCTCATCAGTGAAGCCCATCGGGTGAATTTTCTCATGTGTATGTAATGCGAGAAGTCTACTTTGCACTAACCCTTAGTTATATTCATTTATTAAAGCATTGTCATAATTAACCTATAGCTTTGCCTTCACCTCACCTCTAACTGGGCCCTCCACCATCTCCGCCAATCCACAAGGGGTCCGTGAAACATCAGTATAGTTGGGAACCATTGGTCTATTGATTCTAGTCTATAGAAATTCAACAAAACTATGGCGACAAAATATTTATTGAAAATGTGTTGATAGAAATTAATTCTATAGTATTTCTATCGTCTGTACTCTATAGACTTAGGTTGAAAGAAAATCTTAAAAATTGCCGATACGACGTGACTGGATAGAAAGTTGAGAGTTATTAAAATGTAGATATCTACAGACTGCCTGATTTTTTTTTTTTTTTTTTTAACCGTTTCGAGGTTTTTGGCGGTATATTCATGAAGAGACAATGGAATCGTTTTATTTGCGACTCTTGTACGTCATGGCACAGAGGACGCGCTAGCGGAACACCCAAGGTATTTTTTAACCTGTTTAGCCAATAAGAAAACGCGAGCAAAATGACATGATTGCGACACCTTCGTGGCTTTCCTCCAGTAGATGAATTGTTTTCCCATAGCATCCTATATACTGACAAAACCTGGTAGATCGCTACGTGAAGTGGCCGCCGAAATTGAAAAGGTAGAGCGGCAGACAATGGATGAGAGAAGAGGCATGTAACCGGCGCCCCGCTGCGGCGAGACGCCGAAACACACTTGTCCCGAGCGATGGAATATCCGTTCGGGCTCCTCGCGTTCCTCGCACTACCGCTTCTTTTCTCGTCGAGTTTCCAAATTCATGTTTCGGGTCCTCGCCGCTGCAAAAGCTGTGCGCTGAATAAGAACCAGAGGCCGGATTCTCAAAGCGAACTTACGATGAAAAAAATGCGTACGACAAATTTGAGAGAAAATCCGTATTCTCGAAACGAAATTGTCGTAACTTTTGCGCAGGTTACGACAGAATCCTACGACAGCTCCGAAGCTGCCTTACGCACTTTCTACGATCAAATTAACATGACCGACAACGTCGCTCAGTTGCTCGGTCGCGACGACCCAACGGACATTTATTTTTCTACCTGCTCTTTTTGCGCGTCCCGACTTCAAGCAGCAAGAAAAAAATGAAGTACTTGACACCGACCACGACGAACATGAACGCTGGATCCACAGACACCCGGAAAAGGCAACAAAGGCTGCGATCCCACCGACCAAGCGAGCTGCGAGCTCGGCAGAATATATAGGCCTAGCAGGCACTCTGACCCGTTCCGGCGCAGCATTGCTCAGACGGTCCTTGGCCAAGACCGTCTGCCCACGACCGGCTGGCTTGCTGAATGGAATATGCCCGCGCGACCCTTGTGGACCCTCCCCGTATGAATAGTTTGATAGCTGAACTAATAGTTTGATAGCTGAACTAAATTTCAGAGGTCAACCTATTCCCCTTATCATCTCGATCACCTTGTTTTCCGAGGCAGCGGTGACGAACGCTGTCGTCGAAAAGGGACTCCTCGATTCTATCTCCTAATTGTTTTGTGTGATATAGAGCTCAAATAAACGCCGTATGGATTACCTTCGCAACACGGTATGTACACTTTGTTATTAGTATGCCATGTTTAACTGTCGAGCTATATCAGTTGTGGGAGCTACGCGATGCCGGTCCAAACTTTCTTTGCCGAGTGTCACGTCAGTATCGAGTTGCAATCGTAGAAGATCGGTCCCGAAGCGCTTACCGAAACGCAGTCTGAATCGAGCACTTCGATCAAACGCACGCGTCCGCTCCGAGTGTGAACAGGTATTTGCGTGACTCTTGCTGGACACTCTCGTAGTTCAAACGTATCTTTTTTAACGTCGGCTCACTCCTGCATTTCCGAGGCCGCGAGAAACGCCGCGGCGGTTTGTTTCCATCTACGTCGCTTGGCAAACGACTGGCACGGGGCTTTTACCAACGATGACAGTTGTGTTGACTTCGTAGCGATCGAGTTTGTAGCAGTCAGCGAAGCGTTTAAATCGTGTTAGCGTCGATATACCACTGCACGGACACGAACCCCAGGCAAGCGGTGGTGGAAAGGCCGCCCGTGTTTATGAGAATCAGCTTGAACACTAAACATTTACACACAGACAGGACAGGACATACACAGAGCTGTCTATCAACGAGTGGTTAGCCTGTGTTTGTTATTAAAAATCCACGTGCTCCGAACTATGCCTAGCTCTCTAATTGGTTGTTCGTTTTGCCGAAGACGCCGTTGCCATAGCAACAGCACCGGAAGTCATCGTTTCTCCGTAAGAGCTCGTAACTTTCCTCCTCTCACTTAAGAACGCGTTTGTGAATACCGTTCTCGCCTCATCTTACGATGATCGTAACTTTATGAACTTCGTAGCTAAGTTGTCGTAGGTAAGAGTTTTTTTATGAATCTGGCCTCAGATTCCCCGAGAAATGCTCTGTGCTACCAGGTGCCCGCGCACCAGATCTGCGACCGGGCACTCTATGGCTCCGTTGTCGAACTGCCAGGCTTTGTGAGTCGAGAGAAGGTTATAGTGTTTTCTCTCCAAATAAGGTCACCGTCATTTGATTATTTTGTATCGTTTGAATGTAAATGATCGAGCCCGTCAAACCTGTAAGGCTCGTGACAAATATAGGTTTATTCTTTCTAGCTTCTCAACCAGGCAATGGCCCATGTTAAAAACTTAGCGACAACTATTCATGATCCTCCAGTTAGCTACATTTTTGTGAGGATCCCAGTGCCTTCAGTAAAAGCCAACTGCAGTCTGTCGTAATCTACGAACGAACTTCGGGAGAGGCTCCGTCATAGAATTTCCAGAGTCCGTCGCCATGCCACTCAGTGCGAACGCAGCATTTTTCTGTCCTCACTGAAATCTCTCTCAAGATTGGCGATCGCAGAAACAAAGCTCGGCATAATGCCCAATGCGCCTCGGTGCTGCTGGGGCCTTTTCTGCGATTCTCACAACAGACTGTACGGGTCCCCCAATAGTGGGAAGGATCCGCAATAGTCACCCTGCACGCAACAACTCACGTTTGTGACGTCGCACCATGTCACGCTGAATATGGGACTATGCTTCCCTTGAAACAAGACGACCACACAATATGCGCTGTGTTTGACAGCGGTAGCTGCTGCGTTGTTGAAGATTTGCCTTCAGCCAGTGCACGCTCTACAATGTTTGCAATGGGTCATTTGCTCTCAGGGGAATTGAGGTAGGATTCGTGTCTGAGGAGATGTGTGGCTTGGTGGAACGACTGTGCGACATGTCGGATGTGTTATAGGACACAGAGACGTGGATTTAATTAACTTTTTGGCTGAAACAATTTTTTTTTTTTTTAAGAACGGGGGCGCCCCTTTATTGCGCCTGCGCAGGAAGAAGCGAAAGTACGTGGCGAGTTGTTCTGTAAAGGCACGGAGAGCACACGAGAACGGAACCTGGGCGGCGGCAGCGGGGAGGCGAGGGAGCGTGTCCGCAGAGTGCGACCACGTGACTATTGCCCAAAGGCGGCTCCCGGAGAGGGTGCGTGCGTGCGTGCGTGCGTGCGTGCGTGCGTGCGTGCGTGCGTGCGTGCGTGCGTGCGTGTGTGTGTGTGTGTGTGTGTGTGTGTGTGTTTGTTTGTTTGTTTGTTTGTTTGTGTGAGAGAGAGAGGGGGGGGGGGCCGTGGAAGGGAAGGGAGAGCGTCGCCGGACGGTACGTGGATCTCGTGATCACGTGGGTTTTTCGGACCAGCGGCCTCCTACAGGGGGAGGGCCGTACTGTTGCCTTGTATGTGTGAGGAACAACGGGAAAAGGGAGAGCAGTGCCTTTGCTGTAGAGTGGTGTTTTGCGTTTGTACTAGGGTGCCTTCATGTGCGCCTTGCTTAGGGTGGAGACATCTGGCCCTTTTGTCCCACACTTTTATTTTTACTTTTTGTTCAGAAGCGCGTGAAAGAGCGTGTTCCTGCATGCATTTGTGACGCTGATTGTGCCATAACGACATTTTGTTTTCGTCAATTTCTCTGTACTTTACCCGTGAGCGCGTGCTGTCGGCATTGGGTACTACAAAGGGTGGCATCACCCTCAACAGAAGGACATTGAGGCACCCTAATTCGTACATGAGAATTGTTTTTTTTTTTTTTTTTTGCCGGAAAGAGGTTTTTGAGCTGTCGTGTGCGGCGAGTCGGAGCAGTCGTCTCTCTGGTGGTTCGTACGTCGGATCGGATAGCTTTGTCGCTCATGTGTATCGCGCTTCACACGCAACGGCCCACGCGTCTACACTCTTAGAAAAAAGGGTATGGATAGTCCTCCCTTAGGGGAGGAACGGTCTTGTAACCTATGTTCCTTTAGAAAGGGAGAAACGTTCGTCCCTGAAGCAGGGGAGCAACGTTCCTCTGTCGCTTGCATCTCAATATGGCGGCCCCGAATCGAGCAAATCGAGCCCAATAAGGCTTAACCAGGACGCTAAGTCTCTTGTACGGGACGAGAGCAGCAGCAAATAAAAGCGTCACACGAGCTTTCCGCAAACTGTGTTTATTTCCGAAGCCAGATTCCCCCCACAGGTACAGAAACTTGCGTTTCGAAAGCAGTTACTCAGTCTTCGCGTCGACGGCACTGCGATGTTAAACGGAGACAACCGATACCCAGTTACTTCGCGCACTTTGAGACTTACCTTTGGTGTTCCTCGAGTCACAATTCCTTCGTCAACCGCGCATCACAGAGAAGGGCAAACTCAATCCGCGAAACCAAAAGCCGCTCTCGAAAGAACAAACTCGAAGCCGCTGTTTATCGCGTAGCGTGAAAGGTTAAATCGCTAGCCACCAGATGGCGGGGTCAAGCAGAGTAATTGCAAGCAGCTAGGCTAGGTGGCGCTTGGTACCGCCCAATTCATGTTCTACAAAAAATAATTAATTTTTTTCAGGCCACTACTGCGCTTCAGAGCCGCTCTCCTGCGCTTGAGGATCCTCTACTATACACACACACTACACTTATTACAAGCATTAGGTGAACATACATTGAGCACATACACGGCACACACACAAATATTAATACAACGGAACACCACACTAACCCGAACACTACACCCGTGCTCTGCGTTTCTGCCTTTTATACTGGTCGTTTTGAACGTACGGAACTTTTCGGTGACTCCCTAAGCAATAAAAAATATTCCCAGCATGTTGATTTTTTCCCAGCAATGTCATACCTCTGAAATTATTTTAAATGGCTCAAGGGATGAATCTCTTATTAAAAGTAAACGCTCGATCAAGCCGTAATTATTTGAAAGCCTATAAATCGAGCCGCCCTAATGCGGTTCGAAGCCATGAGTTTGTTTCCCCACACGGCACGTCGTAGCCTGTATTTCTATTGGTTTTTCTATTTGTGCTGTTCGCGCAAAGCTGCAATTGCCGTCTTGAATTAATCTCTGTAAAGCGGATATTCACTCAGCTGGAAGTGATGCTTCACATGCTGAGAAATCGCTTTTCGATCAACTTGAATGCAGTCAAAGCCGCGACTTGCGGCAGGTGTTCAGTGTACGGAGCTACGCCGTGGCGAGCCCAAAAACGTCTAGCGCTCATCCCAGCGCGCCACTTGGAAGGCAGTTTCTCCAGGAACCGTAGTATATTTAAACAGCAAAATAAAGGGCAGCTTTTTTTTTTTCGATTTTACCTTCTATTGTTTTTTAATGCCGGAATTCCATACTGTAAATATACGTACTTTCCGTCACGATTTCGTACTGTTCAGTCCTTGTCCCAGAGCGCAATCGCTCTCGGGGACGAGACAATTCCGACAGTCATATTGGCCATTGTACGATAGCGATAGGAGCTTCTACTGTTCAGACCAGCGTTCCAACATGACTATCCGCACGTTGATCGATTGCACGTAATCCCTCAAGTGGTATTAAACTTTTTAATGTAAAGCGGAGTGTCAACCTGCGACACCCCGCCCCCTCATCACGGCCCGACCAACGGCATCAATGCCCGACTGTTTACGATCTCATATTGTTGTTACACCACTGATACGCGAACACACGGTCACATCGGCGATAATTCCAGTCTTCTGTTCACAACCCACAACACTGCCATCACGATGTTGCAGCTATGTTGCTGACACGCACAAATACAGAACCACGTTGAACGCCGGTTGCACTCGGCATCGGAAAACAGAACCGAACTCAGCGCGGAAGGCACCCAGGCAGCCGGCAGCAAAACCTGCCTGTCTTGGACGCAGTTCCTGCGGTTTCCATAACGTCGAAAACGTCGACACAGTTCCGCGTGGTTTCGCTACTGTAGCGACTGTAGTTCCATCGGTTCGCCGCGCGCGCGAGTCCCGCAATCCGGAGACGGCCATCCCCCAGTGTACGTGGCACTGCTGGCACTGCTCCGCAACTTCGCTGTTTCCAGCGGCTTCGTTTGCTCGTTTGATAAAATTAGTGATAAAAGCGTCAATGCAACCGAAATGTTCTGCACGTTTAGACTAGAACACGGAATTGCAGGCGGCCTTCGGTGCCGCTGAAGCTCAATCAACTCAACAGCTATTTATTAAACAACGTGCGCGACCTGCTCGAAAAACGAAACCGAAAGACGATGAGTCGGGAGGGCGAAAGCTTTCTCCCGTCTGCCTGGAGACGGAGAAAAACGTTTCGTTCCTCCCCTTTTCTCGCGTCCGGTTGGGGGCGCGTCAGTAGAAGGGAGGAAGACGCGCCGTTGCTACTTTTTTCCTCCATTTTTTCTTAGAGTGTAGGCCCCGGGTGAGAAACGTCGGTCGGTGTCCGCGGTTTGCATGCACGTTCGGACCAAGAGCACTCACGGGGTCTATGTTCCGGTGGAGCTTGCGCCTGGAGCGCGCCCGGCACCTCCTGCGGCAGCAGCCGATGCAGGCCAGCGAGCAGAGGATGAGCAACGCCGCTGTCATGCCGCAGGCGATGGGGATCAGGATGCTCATCAGGTAGTTGTCCTCCTGCGAAGACAGGTCGTCTCGGTGAGGCGCCTGTCCTGGGAACCCCCGCTCTCACGGCGCAGAGCGGCACATTTTGCGAGCTCATTGACCTTATTTGTTTTACCCGGATCCGTTCGCCTTGAGCAGAGACGCAACTATTATGCGATGTCTTAATTAGTGGGACGCCGAAGATAGTTTCGGAACTACTCGGCGTGGCGCACCACGAGTTGATCACTGATCCTCTCTCGGTCTGTTTAGCCAATGAGGAACGCGAGCGGTAATCCCCTCTGGTCCCGCAGCCTCGCTGGCAAAGAGGCAACTTTTCCCAGTAAGTGTACGGGGGCGTGATTAGCGGTCGTCCTTCACCTTGGCTGAACTGCATTAGAGGACGACCAATGGTCGATGCGCCTTCTGGGAGGACGTATCCGGTGAATAATAACGGCAGGACCGAAGAGTTGGAGATAAACTCCGCTGGCTGACAGTGTGGTGGAGGCACGATACTCATTGGACCAGCCGTACGTCTGTATCTGGCCACGTGATCCCACTCGCACCCAATCGCAAAGACCGGGATCACGTGACCAGAGGGAGGTCTGGCTCCCACCGCAGGCTCCGCTTGGAGTGAACTGTGGCTGTGTGTGGAAACGGTTTCACCTGTTGACCCTAATAGCCAGAAAGAAGCTGATATAAATCCCTGAAATGGAAATCTAGTTGGCTCTCTTGGGGCTCCCCAGTTACACACACGCCATTTTAACTAGAATAGGGCTGGGACCCTTGGGGAGAGTGTGACGGCACGGAAACCGTTACGAGATGACGTACTCCGTAGAACAAGCTATGCAAAAAGAACAGATATTTGGGAACAAATAGTAATCGATTGAGAAGAAATCTAGTACTAAACGCCAAAAGATGGTTATTCTTTAATGTTACCGGCTACGCGATAGGAAAGATTTGCAAAGCTAGCTGCATTTCTCCCCAGTGACTGTTAATTGGAGCGCGATCGAACGCCGATGGCCGATGGCCGGCGTTCACGTTCGAACAGGAAGTAGGCACAGAGACAACTATAGCTTCGCGTCTTCTGCGCTCGGTGTTGTGACGTCTCATCCCCTTCTCTCCCTCACTTTCTATTCGTATAACCGAAAAAGAGAAAAAACTCCACAAGTCCACCAAAAGCCCCAAAGAATGCCGCGGAAACGTATTCTGTGTATTCCGACTTTATCCCTAGGATCGAGGGAAATGTTGCTGCAGACATAGGATATCTTTCTCTTTCTTCGCCTATTTTTTTCTCAGTTACGCTCTTAGTTACACACAGTCCCGTTTCCTTATACGTTACGCCTTTAGGATTTTGTCTTCGGAGTTTAGTTTTCGTGAAATACGGAGGGTGTTTTAGGAGTTTATTTTTCGCTAAAAATACGAAACTTATCAACGCGTTCACTTTTTTTTTTCAATTTAAAGTTTAACTTTTCTTTGTTTTAATTTTTTTAATTAAAAATAAAAATAAATACTGGGACACAAATGTACACTAAATGGCTAAGAAGATCACCTGTATCGAATCGCATGTCTGTAGCAGCATATGGCATTGCCCCTAGCATTGGAACTACTCTCCCACGACAATTCTTGCGAGGACGTGTCGCTTACATTAAGGTTAATGCTTTGAGATAACTAAACCCCTGAACTTTGTCGGCTGGGGAGCAAAGAAGCTCGAGCGGCCCTGCCCTTCCCTCCGAGGAAAGGCTCATAGCTTTCACTGTCGGAAAAACACGACCCCTCCTGTCTCTAAAATACCAAGATAGTACGATGCAAACTGGAAACCGGAGCAGTGACTTTTGCCGTTACCCATACGAACATATAGACGGTTTGTTTCGAACGAGCCTTGGAGATGGTTAACGGGAAACTCCGTTTCGTCAATAGTCCGAGATTTCAGAAGGAACTGAAATGGCCTCAGGACCGCCGACACTGTGCTCACACAAAACATTTATTCGTAAAGTATTGTCTTTTTTATTTTCATTTTGCCATCGTGACGTCAAAATTTTGAGTTTTTTTCCGGATAAATCGGAATGGATCAAAGTTCTACCGGAGAGTGTTTTTTGGAGTCTTTCGGAATTATCTGAAAACACTGAAGCCTACTTATGAATCACGGAAACATTGGTGTCTGGAATGTCGCATGCCAGGCCTTGAACTGGTAGCGGCCCGCTTCATACGAAGCAGAGGTTCCGGTCACTCGTGGCCTTAGCTTTCCTAACGTAAGAAAACTGTACTGCGTGAACCAGCCTTTAAGGTCTACGTGGTCGAGCGGCCATTCAGTATTGGGGAAGCTCGTTCTGCTTCGAAACATCTACGACGCAGAAATATAGGATAAAAGGTGGTGCTTACCTTCCATGTTAACCAGGATGAGAAGAAATAATGTCGAGCTGCGAAGAAGAAACACACCAGAATTTGGCTATTGGAAACCTACTATAGGGATATAGACAAATTGAATGACAGTTGATTAGTGTAGGAGTAATTAGAGAGTTTTAGTAGATCGTTCCGATGACTCCGATAACGATACCCGATACTCCGCCACCGCCTTCCTTGTGCATGCATAGTATCGTTATCGGGGCTATCGGAGGTATCGGAACGATCTACTAAAACTCTCTATTGGCTCATCCTCTCGTGACCGAAATGATCCCCTTCCGCAGGCTTTGGGCTCCGGAACGCGTTTTGAGCGTGCGCGGTTCTCTTCTGCCGGATGTTTCTTGTTTGTACCACGCTCACAGCTGGGTCGTACGAGAACTCTTCTGCTCACATGAAGCGTTTGGAACGCACTTGGTCCGCACATGTCATACATGTGTGTAACAAATACGTGATGGATCACTCATGGGATAGCAATTTTGGAGCACCTAACGTTTTCAGCGCACACTTCATTTTTATTCGTATCACTGCGACTGATTCCTATACCTATCCAACTATAAGGCGGTGTCTGCTTTGCCGTCCCACTTGTATGCGGCCGTTAGCATCACGGCTGCTTTGATTTTCTCAAACACAAGACTAATTGTTCAATTGCTGGTAGAAACACCATGCACGTGAAGATTGATGAAGGAAAGATTGAACTGCTTGCTGCGAATTACTATTTTAGGTATGGAATGAAAGGTAAATAAAATAGTAGATTCCAGCGAACTAATGTTAGAAGAACAGACGATTTTGTTTTATCCGAGCTTTAAAGGGTAAGTTATTTATTGACAGTGCCAAGGCCAGAGGTGGTGAACAAAGTCAGTTGACAAACCAAATGTCGGAACACAGCCGTCTAACAAAGCACTAAAATAAAGGAAATACTACCCTCGAAAGGCATCCTGTCGTCGTTAAAAATTATAGCAATAAATGAGTCGACGTGAGTTTTAAAATATACTGCAATTGTTAATTCAGATAAAAATCGAAGCTTTTTTTAAATATATTATAAACATTAATAACCATCTCCTATGTAGAACTTCATGATAACAAAAATCGGCCTGTGAATGATGCAGCCATGTTTCCTTAATATACCCCGTTATATGGACGCCATTTTCCTTGAAAAACTAGGAAAATAAGGGAATTTTTGTCTCGTTTTATGGACAGTTCACATTATGGACGATTTTTTGGGGGGACGGAGGTGTCCATATTAAGGAGACATCACTGTAGATGCCTTCTTAGAAACAATCCTGCCGATCGCGTTAAGCTAATTCCGAAGCTTCTATACAGGGATTCTAGTTTTAGGTTCCTCTCTTGGTCATCGGACATATATGCAACCTACATTGTGTCTAAATAACAGAATTGGCACATAAAATAAACCTATAGAGCAACACATTTAGATCTCGCAATACCCAAGTATCCTCGCTAAATGTCGAATCTGAAAAGATACCGTCAAAGTATCACAGTCGCAGTTTTATTCAGAAATGTTTGCTGCAGGGTGTACAGTTATTACATGAACGCTTACGAGGTTTTAATGTTTTGAATATATCCGACGCCCGCATGTCTAACTTTCCGTCCTCGGGGGACATCCTCCGCTTAGCACTAAGGTGCGCTGCGGCGAAACAAGGTACTGCTAGGTGGCGTAAGCTACCGCCCGATCCAAAGGGCTCAGCCAGATTTATTCATCCATCCATTGTACGCAAAACGCCTACTTCGCGGTTGTGGCTTCAGAGTTCAGGCCAGTAGATCAGTGCGCGATGAGAAGCGCAGTCTACGAAACTAACTTGCCAAAACAGACCATGAAGTAGTGTCAGTGTTCGATGCAGCGATAAAACCGAATAATTATGCGAAACTACCATAAAAAAAGTGAAAATTCGCACATGCCTACCGCCGGCTATGTATAGCGGGGCCTGTAAAATCCTATTTTCAGTATTAATAAAGTGGAACTAGGATTTTGGGCAATTTCGTCGCTTTCACATTCTGACGAAATGTGATGAGGCAGTTTGGCGCAAATGTCGCAGCAGTCACTCTACATTTTTTGCCTGGAGGATAAGCGCTGCACTCGAGTTCATTGGTCTTGCTTTGGTCACCAGTGACAAGGGACATCGTGCTCCAATATCCACGTCGATGGTCCAAGAGGCGGACGCCTTTCTGCCATGCAAACCGCATGAGCCATTGGACTGCAATACAGCTCGCCCTTGTCATTGGCTAAACTATTTTCTTTTTTTTATTGGCAGCGATTTTTTTTTTTTTTAATTTCTATAATACGTGTATTTTTGCTTGGCAACAAACTCAGTGGTGCCATCTATTGGGTAGCCCCGGCGCACTTCCGGTTCACGTGCATTTCCTAATTTTTTACTCATAATTTTTTTTATCGCAAGAGTGCATTGAGCCGCTCTAAGTGGCCATTTCCAGAAGATAGCGCGTACATTTGATTTCGCAAATACTGCGAAGCGTCTAGTTCAGAACCGGAAGTGGTAGGGGGCCTATTAGTATTTGCACACTGGCGCCACCACGTTTCAACTCACGCAAGAAAGACCGAATAAGGAACTGGTGAGGGAAATGTATATGTCACGTGGTATATATTTTCCCGCTAAATTTAGCGGGGAAACTGAATGGTTGTATAGGTCACGTGACGTCGCTTTCCCCGCTAAATTCAGCGGGGAAAGCCGAATTGGTATCTGGGTCACAAGTCTTGAATTTCCGCGCTACATTTAGCGGGTAACTGAACTGGCGATAGGTCACGTGACGTCAATTTCCCGCTAAATTTAGCGGGAAAAGTTAGTTGACGGATAGATCACGCGCCGTCAATTTCCCTAAGGTGTATAGGCCACGTTACGCCAGTTTTCCCGCTAAATTTAGCGATGAATGCAAGGACGGACAACGTTACAAAGTTTCAGGACTAAAGGGTAGCGTTAAAACGCATTTCGTGCTTTAAAAAAAAAAAAGGACCAATGATGGCGTTCTGAGTACACCCTTCCGCGAGTGATCGGTTCGGGCATTTCTTACTCTTGGGAGTTCTGTCGACGGCGTCGTGATCCTCGCCGAAGTGCAAGACAGCGTCTCCAGGCCCCCTTGTAGGCGGGGAGGGCGTAGTCGCCCGAGTCCCGTTACTTCCGTTGCCCGCCGCTGCCAGACTCTGGTTTGCAGCGGTCGGGACTGGCACGGTGTTGTTGCTCCCGACGGGCTTCCCAGTGGTTCCCGGAGGGTCGACCCTGCCGACTTTGCCGTCGCCCGATGACGCTTTCTGGATGGCGCTGTCGACGTCCGCACTCCCTGCCAAAACCTAACGGGTTGCAACCGGACAAGTCAGAAATGCTTGGACACTAAAAATACGACGAATACGGGGCGTGGCAAATACCGATCGATCCCGCCTCCGTACTAAACAAGAAAAATAATAACGCCACGCTTGCAACCCTCCAAGAAGAAGGAACAGCGGCAAAGGGACAGTTTTCCAAATGGTATGCAATTAAGGTGTCTGGACCCTAACAGAGGCGGAATCCCTCTAGAACCACGAGGGCGTTTGTTTCCTACCTTGGCTAAAGGCGACGAGATATGTTACAATAACACGATCTGATGGATTCGCGGACACTTGCATGTGCATACGTTCGTGCAATAGAAGCCGATCCCGTATAGCCCCCCCACGACGTGGTCGCTGTGGCCACGTCAAATGGCGTCCTACGAGGGGTGGAAGATAAACGTGTCGTACTTGCGTCTGCAGCAACACGTAGGCCATCGCTGCCACGAGGAGAAGGCGCCGGGTTCCGACCATGGCGGCTGCCGAGATCCGACTTCCGCAGGCTCCTCGTTAGATCCGGTGACGATAGTTCACTGGCCAAGTTGCTTCAAAACGACCGGAAGCCCAGAAAAAGGCCTAATGAGACACGAGCGAGAGCCCCGACGCAGCCTCGTCCTGAAACGCGGAGCAAAGCACAGCTGCACTTGCTCGCCGGTGCGGGGGTGAGGGAAGGTGTGAGGGAAACAAATGAACAGATGTTCGCATTTTGCAGAGGAGCGATACGCGACCGTCGATGCCTGCTCACTATTCTTTGGACTGCCCTCGCGCGATCAAAGGCTCTGTCAGGGGCCTGCATACGGCTTCACCGAAGTCGCCGTCTTTTATACGGCCAACGCGTATTTGGGGCTCGGTGTCTATTGGAACGTGAGATCGAGCAGTTTTCTCATTGGTCGAGCTGATTAGACGAACATCAATGATTGGTGTTGCTAGTGTATCGCGGTGCCGTTTGAATAGTTACAAAGTCACAACTCGGCGCGCGATCCTCACAGTCCAGCAACGGCAACACCACCTAGAATAATCAAAGCCTCCGCATTGCCTGTTTTCCCTTCGTGAAACGTCATCAGAGTCGGATGGCGCTAACTCGGCTATTGGGCCCGAGTCCGACCTTGGACGCGCTGATTGGGCACGAGCCCCGGCCGAACACTGACGCAGCACTCGTGCCCATTCTAAGGCCTCGATCGATCTGACTGGGATGGTGGTAAGGAGGCCTTCTGCTTATCTAGGTGGCAACGGCCGCTCGATCACTGCCGCTTCACCGTGAAATGCGTATAAACACTGAGCCAGCCAAGCTTCCTGAGCTGGTCGCTGGAGGCGTGGTATGCCGCCCACCGCTCCCGCTCGTTCGGCACCAACCAACACCGCGTTGAAGACAAGGCCGTAGGGCTGACATGCTGCGTCATCGCTCGGCTTCGAGTCACGTTTGAGCCGAGCGTTGACGCAATCGTCGTGTTCAACCTGTACCCACTGTTAGCCTTCGCTGATGACGACATCTCTATCAGCACTACCGCTTTGTTACCTCGGAGGTGTTGCACCAGCCACTGTGGCCGCCTGTCCAGTGCCACCAGACTTAACTCACTGCGGCCGCCTCGACTACTTTCCGATGGCAAAAAAGAGTGACTCGGCAGGCCATTCCCAGAAGGTCCGGCACACGCATGTTCGTCGCTTCGGAAAGCGAGCAATGCCCGCGCCATACACACCAACGCTAAAAATATGCGGCACCTTTGCCCGTTTCTGAACTGAGCACCAGGATTAACTGGGATAGTGGGCCGAGACATCAGGGAGTTTTCGTAGACCGTTTTCGACGTCCCGCAACGCTCTCCGTGATCGACGCGCAGGCGCAGTAGCGCTTTCTTCGTTGCGGAGGGCTTAGCAGACGAAGAAACGCGGTCTACGAAAACATCCCTATCGGTACTGTACGTGCGCGCACCGCTATCCTAGACGCGGGTCTCCGGCGTGATGTGCGTCGCTTACCCGAGCGAGGTTCAAACGTCGGGAAGCGGGAGACGTGGCAGCTGCCGCGACGGCTCCCATATCGGCTCAGTCGGGGCTTGTCCGGATACACGCATTACCGGAAGCGAGACACTTGTTCCGCCTCCAAGCCAGACCTCTTCCGCCGCCGCCGGCCTGCCAAGTTCGATCCGGCCGTACACACCGAGCTTCTAAGTACGTTCTAAAGCGAGTTTGCGCGCCTATTCAACCGCCAACAGCTTAGCGACCCCACGTGGCGTGGTCGGATCCCGCACTGCCCCTGGCAAGGCAGCCAATCAGAACGCAGCCTTGCCATGCCCGCTTCATAAAGACGCCTCAGTGTAGATGACCGAGGCATGACACTCAAAAGCACCTACATTGCGCAGGTATCATTGATAGCATCCGTAACAAGTGACGAACGTTTAGGACCCGAGAAAGGGGATCGGAAACAATAAAAAAAAACTGACCGGCGCGCGTCTTTTTTTTTTTTTTTTCGGGTCAAATGGCAATTTGGCGTTTGGCATTAGGATTCTTTAGTCCCGTGATTGGCTACCTGCGCAGTATGCGGGAAAGTCAACGGACAGGTTTTTTTTTATAGTCTATGACAAGCCGCTACTGAGCAGGAGCTCAGACGCTTCGTTGTAGAAGGCCACCTCTGGTTGTACGCGTGCAGTCTAAATACAAGTTACAGGAACGCACACGAATCAGAAACGTACATTCTTTCGACGGTATGGGCGCAATCTTCTCCCCTGACACTACGGGAAAAATTAAGAGTAAGAGATTGACTTATTTCATCGTCGTCCTTTTTTTTTTTATTATTCCATTTTTACTATGGTCAACGTCGTTACTTTCAAATGTCACCATCGTTGTTTTCGATACTAAACGCTGTTACTTGGTTCAGTCTTGCGTCAACGTGGCTCGAACACCGACGAAAGTTATCGTAGAAATGAAGAAAGGCGAACCCTCCCCCGCGAACTTAAAAAAAAATGCATCCCCCCGTAACTAAATTCTCAGAAGTCACTGGTCAGAGTACACCGCGTAAGACCCTGAATGCAGCATCGCTCATTGGTCTTTCAATCAGGTCATCCAATTAGAAACCCGACATGTATACTATCATCCAACAGCCACGTGTTTTCAATAAAATAAATAAATAATATATATATATATATATATATATATATATATATATATATATAGAGAGAGAGAGAGAGAGAGAGAGAGAGAGAGAAAATGAAAAAGGCAATCACCATTTTTTTTTTTTTGTCGTTTGTTATTGGATGGCGCGCTCATTGGAGGGCGCTACTCATCGACCCCCTTTCATCTGGCTTACCCGAATAAAGAAAGGCCAACGGTTCCTGTTCGAGGAACACTCACCTGCGAAAACCCCCAACTTTCGCCGTATATCTATATACCTGGGCAAACGCCGCGGCAGACCCGAAACGTGCACATGCGCCCAAACCAGACGGAACGGCCCCGACGTTGCCCGGAGACGGGCGCGAGGCGAGGGTGTCAGGAAGGCGCACCTGTGGTCGGAGCCGCGCGTTCTCGTGCGCGTCCACACCTGCTGCCGAGAGATACGAGGCGCCCCGATAAAGAACGGGGCGGCAGCTGTTCCAGCCCCGCGCAACTGCGCCGCCTGCCGAGTTGCAAGCTATGCGGGCCTGCGTGGCTGTGCGGGACGGAGAACGGACCCCAGTTCATTCGCACCGCGGAAATACACAGCGGGTCGCGGGAGGCTCGGACGCCGCCCCCGCAGTGTCAAGCTCGCCGTTTCGAAACAGTGCGGGTTGTCCAAATCCCAGCGTTAGACACTCTCGTCGAGAAAAACGCCTAAAAGGGATAATTTGGAATCCATCCACCTTTTCCAAAATCATGGTTCCAGGGTTTCTGGAATAGACCGATCTCACCAAGCGTTCCAGGCATGCGTGACGCCGCCATAACTGTAGTTCGTAGGAGGCAGATGCCAGTTCACGAGACAGCTCATGCCAATCGTGCTCTGCTCGCGCAGACCTCCAGCAGGGTTGCCGCGCGTGCAGAAAGACTACAGCTCCCACGATGCATGTCGGCAGCGGTGGCGTACTCAAACTATCTGTGAGATCGGTCTATTGAAACGCACGTGCGGCCTCCCATATGAATTCACTAGCGACCACGACAGGCTTTCAAGCGACAGGCGTCTTGGTGCGCACGCGGGTTCTCGGCCCACTAACCTTGAATCGAAGATTTGGGAAAAGGGCCAATTCGCAGCGGACTGAATCGGGGCGCGGATGCGGTTCTCAAAGTGTTGCGTATAGCGATGATCCACGTATAATCGGTCGCCAGCGTGACAAGTGCAGGGGTTGTTCTGTTCGCACAAACATAACATCTCCACTCAATGCCTAACACGCCGAGAGGCATTGGACATTCTACGGAGCTTGGTTCTTTTATAGGCGCTAATCTTATTAAAAGAAAGACACTTTTCGTCCGCAAAGGGCAGCGTTCGTATTGACCGGTGTCGTTAGGGATCTTTATGAGCTCCAAAGTGAAGAGGTTTCTTGTTGTCCTTGCGGGGTTCGGAAGCACGTCCCGCGGTGAACTTGATGATGTAACGTGGCTGACGTGATCGCGCGATGGCCAACCCTTGCAGTGCGATGCAGTAGGCTGCGTTAGGCGCTCAGCCACCTCATGTCATAGGACTTCAGCCCTGTCACCAACGTCCGAGAATAGTTTTACTAAAGCCATTTAAAATACAAAAGCGATTTCTTCGGAAAAGTGTTGTCGACCGTGGCAGACATACCTGTACAATAAACGAGATAATTAGCGTTGTTATTACCTAAAACCCACTAATTAATAGTCGGTGACAGTTTTAGGATTTTAGGGGAAGCTCCTCCCACCCCTTTCCACTTTAGCAAAGCGAAGGCTGGAACAGCGATTGCGATTTCTCTGATAAAGTGGAAAGAGGTGGGGGGAACTTTCCCTGAACTCTTGCCACTGACTATAGACCATTCCATTTAGCGCTCTCTGGGCGGCACCATTTTGTTTGACCGCAGCGCCCTCTCCACACATCCGGGAAGTTCAGCGGGTTCGGCGGGGTAAAACGAAAGAGAGGGCACGCCGCCGACTCCGCTAGCAGACGACAAACCGGGAGGTTGCCGTTCTCCATCTTTGGGCTGTATCGGCGGGCTCTACCGAACACCGAACTCTCGCTCGTGGCTGCCGTTGTGAAGTGGTTCGCGTTCTTAGAATAGTTGTGGCTACTCCAAAATCAGCCTATAGTCTCGGTTGTTCTATTTTGCTAAATGATCAACTAGCATATCTTTTTTCCGCTACTTAAATAGCAGTTGAGTGAGCCGGCAGTATTACCCTCAACTACTGCGTGTATTGCGGCAGGAGAGCACGTTTTATTTATTATTTGAGACTTCCACTCATGATCGCTAAAGGCCTACACCAGTAAGAACTTTTGTATAGTAAAAGAGGTACAGCAACCGGATTTTCTTTTCGCCAAAGAGACCGGCCAATCTGACACAGTTTTCCCTATTTTTGTTTTTTATTTGCACGCAGGTAATAGTGCAATTGGACCCTGTGAGTTTGTTTTTATCTAGCATAGTATTACACGATAACTGGCATACCAAAATCTGCGCATCTGCGGTTGAAAGTTCCAAAATGACGCGATTTTAAACAGAGTTTGCACGCCAGCCGGACGCTAGCTACAGCCCACTCGGCGGAGCGGACGGCTTCGGGGGAGAGGGGGGTGCATTTTTTTTTCTCTTTTACCCTCTCTGCTATGACCCTAATGGAACGAGATGTTTCGGTGGCGCCTTCTTCCTGACCCTGATGTCACGACCAAGATGATTAGTGGCGAGCGACAAGTTCGATGGTGCTTAAAAAGCGCGATTCAAGCCCAGTCCTAACGTTCCGTCAGAGCTGAAGATCTAACTTTGCTCTTATTTCCGTCGGCGAGAGCAGAAATCATCCTCCTCAACACGCATATTGAGGCCAATGGTGGAAGGCCGATCACAGCGATTGGTCGCGAAGGTCGCCTCCGGCCACCATATTTGAGGGCGCTGTTTAGAGCGCGTACTCGAACGAGCTCACATTAATAGGCTGCTAAGACCGGCAATCTTGATTGGTGGGAGGAGCGAGCAGAGCCAGGGCGTGCATACGACGCAGATAGAGGGCTTGGCATGCTCTAGCTCTTGGCCAACCAAAATCTGAAAATAATCCCCTAGCGGTGGTAGCGAGGAACAGTTTTAATAAGTGCGTGAGACTTAAATGTAGTAACGCTTTGTGGTTGAAAATATGGTGCACGTGATGTTTCGAATACGATCATGCTAAAATATGTAAGAAGCGAATGTGCCGCTCGAACTCTTTTGCTCAGACGGAGTCTGACCCCTGGGACACCTGATTCCCAGCTCTCCGCGCATGGCGTACGGATCAGGTCGATTGTTCTGCTAGATTTTGATCTGGCATCACCGTGATCGACAAATCAAGTACACCATATTTTCAGTCACCGAGAGTTACTCCGACGCACTCATTAGAAGTGTTTCTCCTGACCACCGCCAGGGTATTATTCCCGACTTCTGGCTGGCCGCATTCGTATTTGTGAAGACGCCCTTGAACACGCCCAGCCCGCTTTCGGACGATGGTGCCTCTTCATATGCCTTACTTCCGAATGAACGGCCAAAGACTATATCTACTGCTCTGTCCTTCAGTGATTACTCTCTACCGGGGGTGATCGGTGTACGAGTACTCGAAGCTCGAGGAGCGAAACCTCGCGCAGAACCCAGGAATCCTGGGCCCAATCCCCATTGCCGGCCGTTTCGATCTGGAATGAGCGTCATACCAGTGCTACTCAATTCGCCATCTGCGTCGAAGGTACCAGGCGCCCATTGGTGTTGATAAACTTCCCGCTGTCTAAACATCCACGCAACACTCATTCGTGAACAAAATTGACCTCGAGGAATGGTTGCCCAGTCACATGACGGTGCCCAGAGGTACTAGACGCTGCTTCGTAGTCAAGAGAAGCAGTTATTGCCGTATAACCGCTAAAGGTGAACGTTTCACCGCTCCGTCTTCCAGTTTGAACACGACAGCGAGCCGTGACAAGCCGTGCTCAGTCGGAGAGGGGGAAGCGATGTGAACACCCTCTGTCCACGTGCTCCGTGTGTGTCGCTGCATTTTCGCTGCATCCGGGAGTCGGGCCGGTGGCCCCGCCGCGACGCCCGTATCCAGGCAAGCCTTCCCGGACCACGCCAACACCACCTTGAAGACAAGACCGTATACAGTGCTGACATGTTTGCGTTACCGGCGCTGGGCACAGATTGGAAACCACCAGCGCTCGGCTTCGAGTCGAGTTTGAGCC